CACAAACGGGAAGGGTTGGGATGGAAGGGAGGGGAGGGAGAAGGGATAAGAAAGGGACTGAGCTGTGATCCCGGGACTCCTGAGGCGGAGGCAAGAGAAATGAAGCCTGGACTGGACCATGAGACTCTGCCTCAGAAAGCAAAGCCAAAACAAATCTGTGGCAACCAGATACAGCCTGAACTGCTGCAAGTGTTCTGAGACCGAAGTCAATTACAAAGCACAGGCTATGAGCAAAGTCTCAGCTCTGTAGATTTGGTACTCCCATTTTTATGTTGTGGCACATGAAGATAACTTTCCTTTCTTAAAGGATTCTGTTTTGAACATGGGGCTGGAGTTGAAGATACATCTTACTGTGCTTAGATCTTGTTTGGTGAATCGTAGCAAGTGGTAAAACCAGATTCAAAATGTCCACAGGTTTCATTTAAAAGAAAAGGAATTAAGGTGAACAGGTTCCCCCTCCACACAAGGAATGTGAACGCTGTGTACACACAAGTGTATGAATAAAAATAAATAAGAACGTTATGAAAACCAAAAAGAAAAAGGATACAGGCACACAGAAGTCCCCACCAGCAACTTTAGCTGAGTTGTGTAGGCTTTGCACAAGTACTTAATTGTGCCTCAGTTTCCTCCTCTAGGAAGATAACAGCACCAACCTCATGAAGTTGTGAGAGTTAATGAGTTAATATTTATACACATGATCAGAATAGTTGCTGGCACCAAGCAGGACTTATTATTATCTAACAAAACAAACAAATGTAGTTCCCAAGCCAGTCCCTGAGCAACAGACATAGGTCAAAATTTATATCTTCCAAAAAAGAGGTAGAAAATAAGGATTAAATACATCGATAATCCCATTGAGGGTCAAGAAGGCAGAAGAAAACTATGGCAAGAAGCCCCGTAATATGATTAGACAGGGACAGAGGGAGCTATGATGCCCCTAACTTTCAGCGCAGGATTAAATCCAGCCAGGGGGCATGGCACCATCCCCACCCTAGTACAGGGTACCCCTGTGTGCCAACTTCAAGGGAGTTTTACCAGCTCAGCCAGCCACAGTCACGGGCCCAGAAAAGCTTCTCCTAGGCCCACCTCGAAACAACAGGGAAGGGGGCGGGTAGGGATGACAAACACAGGCTTGAGTGGTATATGAGCACTGCATACCCTCCATTCTGTACACAACTACACTCACACTCACACACACCTCACTCACACTCACACTCACACACTCACTCCCAGCCCAACCCCGCCATGGCCGCCTCCACCATGTCCGTCTGCTCTGAGCCCTGGCAGGTGGACGACTGCGCAGAGAGCTGCTGCGAGCCCCCCTGCTGCGCCCCCAGCTGCTGCCAGCCCAGCTGCTGCGCCCCGGCCCCCTGCCTGAGCCTCATCTGCACCCCAGTGAGCTGTGAGTCCAGCCCGTGCTGCCAGGCTTGCTGCTCCTCCTCCTGCCAGCCGTCCTGCTGTGAGCCTGTCTGCTGCACCCAAGCCCATCAGTTGCACAGCTGCCTGCTGCAAGCCTATCTGCTTGGGGGCCTCCTCCTCCTGCTGCCAGCAGTCTAGCTGCCGGCCGTCCTGCTGCACACCCTTCTGCTGCCAGCCTGCCTGCTGCATGCCCTTCTCCTCCATGCCTCTGCTCTGTCACTCCACCTGCCCCCGCCAGGCCTGCTGCAGGCTCTCCCTTGCCCAGAAGTCCTGCTGCTGACCTGCTGGTCCCCAGGGCCAGCAGACTCAGGTCACCTCAAGGCTTCCAAATTGCAGCAATTTCGAATAAAGCTGCAACGTACATTTGTGTATGGATTTCTATGTAGACGTGAGTCTTTCGGGTAAATCCTACCAGTGTGATGGCTGGATCATGACAGCGTGTTTTGTTTTGTAAGGCACCAGCAAACCGCTGTGAAAGTGGCTACAGTGCTTTGCGTTTCCCCAGTGATGAAGGAGGGTTCCTGTGGCTCTGCATCCCTGAGGCCTCTGGTGCTGTCAGTGTTTTGAATGTGGGCTGTGCTAATGGGCATGCAGAGGCTGCTCGTTGCAATTTTGACTCTCATTTTTCTCAGGTGTGACATGGGATGTCAGCTCACGCGCTTGTTTGCACTTGTAGATCTCTGGTGAGGTCTCTGTTCAGCTTCTTTGCCTATTTTAGTTGGGTTGCTTACTGTCCTATTGAAGAGTTTAAAATATTACATATTATAGGTACCAGCCTTTACAGAAACATAACTTATGAAGATATCTTCCCGTCTGCGCGACTCCTCCTCCTCCATGTATCAATTTTAAATCATTCCAGTAAAGAAGCCCTTAGGTCCAGATTGTCTGTGATGAATTCTGCCCAAGCATTTAAAGAAAACGGTGACATTACGGGAGAAGTTCAGGCCTGGCTGGGCCAGGTGCACCACACTCCTGTCTCCTGAGAAAGCTCAGAAACCATGCTGAAACCAAGCTTGCCTAAGTGCGTAGATGCTGGGTCTAACAGGCTACACCTCCGCCCCTAGTCCATGGCTCCTTCGCCTGGCCCAAGAAGAATCACCCCACCGTATGCCTAGCCAATAAGATATTGCCCAATGTTCTCCACTAATGTATGGATCTGCATAACCTATAAGAAAGTGCCATGTAATTAAATGCTCCTTCCACATGGTTGTCCACACGTAAGATATATAAGCCTGTGCATTTCCTCAATAAAGTGGAAGCGTTCCAGAAACCTCCCCGGAGTCTGCCTGGTGATTCCGCATCTTGCCCTCCCAGTCCGAGCTCCCAAACTGAACTCTGTAGACCAAACAGCAGAGGACAACAGTTACAGCTATACACAAGCCCTTCCAGAAAACGGAAGACCAAACACATTGCCACTCATTTACAGGGTCAGCCACACGCTAGGCAGGACCGAGACATTACATGGAAAGAAAGACAGACCCATTTCCACTGAAATGCAGACAACCAAATCCACAACAAAGCATCAGCAAACCAAATGCCAGAGTCGTGAGAAGGATGGGACAGGCCAGGATCCTCCGGGAATGTAAGGCTACATCCATAACAAACACCCACGGATGTGGGGACCACGGGAGGGTTTGCCGTGTGAACGGGCCGAGGGGAGGCAGCGTGACCACATCAAGGGTCACAGAGGAGCTGACAGACTCACCAAGCCTCACCTTCACAAGCGCTGTCTAGCAGCGGGGAGTGGGTGAAGGCTCATGATCCGGGCTGCCCTGAGGCACCCACCCGGGGGAGACGGCAAGGACCCGCCCTCTCCCCCTGCAGGAACTGCGTGTCACCACCCTGGATGTCACCCGGGGACCTGGAGACAAGGCCTGGGCTGAGCACCTGAGCAGCTGCTCCCTGCGGACAGCACAGAACCGGGAGTCACAGGGAGACCCGGAGCTGAGCCCGTTCAGCCAGGCTGAGGGACCGAGCTTAAGCGGCAGTGGCAGCAAAGCCCAGCTGTGTTTCCAGGCGCGCCACTAATGAAGAACTCAACTGTGCTGGGTAAAGGACGATCTACACTAGAATAAAAGCGTCGGCTTCACCACATATGGAGCGGAACGTGTAGCTCAGGCAAACACGATGGGAGAAACCAAACGGGACCACAGCCAGCGCAGCCGCACCGCCCTGTGGGTTGCACTCAGGCCTCGCGTCCGGCCAGCCACGCTGAGCTCCCGGGCGCCCCAGGTACAGCCCCGCAGAG